GTGACTGATGTGTTGGAGCTTGGGAGAGCTTCAACGGGCCTTTCAGTTGTCTGATGTTAGGGCCGCTGCAATAGGAGAGCTGAGGAAGATTACTCGATGTACAGGGAATCGTGGTGGATGGCAGTTGATGACTATCAAGCCTCCAAGTGGGAGAATGTTGGGTTTGTGGAGGCTTGGGCTTGACTTTTGGCCCGGCCCATTTTACAAAACCCTAGATGCACTCTTCCTATATATATTGCATTCTTGTACTTGTAATCAGTACCACAAGTGAAATAAGAAAATCCTCCCGTTGCAGCCGTGGATTAGGGAAACCGAACCACGATAAATTCTTGTGTGTCGTTTGTGTTCCGTTTCTCTCTTGATTCTCGCAGATATTTGTGTGTGACAAAAGCATGCACGATCAACAATGGCCTCGAGATTTCGAGGGATTATGTGTAAGATTATGACTGCATCTCCTAATCTATATCAAGTGATCACCAAGTCCTCTATCCCATTTTGTTTATCATTTATCATACCTAAGTTCTCCTATAAGCTTTGTCAAGTTAGACTAGACAACAGCCACTGGGTGGCAAATTATGCTCCCTCTGTTTAATTTGTTGGGCTTGTTTTTCTTTATCACATCGTCCCAATTTTTTGTACCTATTTTCATTTATAGGAAAATATTACTATATGGTTTACACTATTGCTCTATTATTAGCATAAATCTAAGCCAGAAGTTTTCACTCTTTCAGATTATGTGCCCATTCAAAGTAGCGATGATATAATCGTACAGAGGAGTATTACAAAGTATTACAAAATAGTCAATACATTCCTGTAAAGAAAGAATAAGATCACAAAAAGAATGAAAAATAATGAATTAGGGGAGAGATTAAAGAGCCCACATAAAAAAGATCTGTAAAAAGTTCTTGAGATCTTTTAGATGTGAGCAGACATAATGTTCATGATCTGGCAAACTTAGTTTCAATGCTCTCTGTGAGAATGCATGAAAGGCTCAAAAAAATAAACTTTTTTCTGTTCTATTCATGACATGAAAAATTGATAACTTAAGTAAAAAAAATAAAAGCTGTGATGTTTGCAAAATTATGTACTCCCTTCGTCTGGTTTTCAAACTAAATTTCTAACTCTGTTTCCAGATACGTGATCTGGTTTTCTACGACTTTCATTTCTTATTATAGCAACTAAACTCAAACTTTTAAGAATGGATTCAAACTCAAAATCTCTAGGATTTCCAAATGAAGCTTCAACCACCTAGGCTAGTTGTTTTCATTGTGATGTCAAGTGCTTATCATTACAAGTTAAAGAGTACATCATTATGATGTCAAGTGCTTATCATTGCCAACTCTAGAGCACGCAATTGTTCTAAGGGATGATAACTTCCACACCTTTAGCTTAAGGCAAATTCTTCTGTAGACCTAATATTCATACTTCTTTTATGGACAATAGTGTCTTTGTAGCATAAAAAAGAGAACCTTTTGCAAACAAAAATCCACATATAAGCCCATAAAAATGTGAAAAAATCCATATTTTAAATGTCGATCTTTAGATAATGCAAGTATCACTCTTAGTCTAGTTCATCATCCATCCTATTTTGCAATAGGTGATTGAACTTATTTTTCATTCAATTTATAAGATGATTGGAGTAAAATTAAAAAACACTTCCCCCGCTGCGTTTTAAATCGTTTGTTTTGACTTTTGGACATATTTAATGAAAAGAAAAGTTAGAATTGATTGTTCGAAATTGTCATTACTTTTTAGAAGGGATGACTATGAATTAGAAGATAATGTGAAAAAGGATTACTTATTTTAGGGGTAGTTTAGGTATTTTATTTTTAAAAGTTTACGATGACAACTAACAGACAACTTATTTTGGAACGGAGAAAAAAGGTAAATAGGAAATTTAAATTGGGACAGATGGAGTATCATTTTAATTATAAAAAACTACATCAAAAGCTTTACAAGATACATAGCTACTAGTAACATGACTATTTTATTTGATCAAATCACTAACAAAAGTGAATAAAAAAACTGAATAGAATTTAACGGTTTAAATAGTGCACAAGTCATTTAATATGGGACAAAGAGTAAGATTTTATTCATTCGACATAGAAAGCTAATTTAGGAATGGAGCGAGTATTAGTCAGTCTATATGAGAAACTCAAGGGCGAGCCACTCTAATGATGCCTCCACTCTTGAAAAATAAAGGCGTGGATGTATGGAAATTTCAGTACTCCGTATATCAACAATGTACTCCATATATCTATAGGGAGTATTAATATCTAGCATTATTAACACACGCATTGCTACATTGTAAACATCATTGTTGTAAACTCTGTTATACATAAAGTGGCATCAATCATCTAAATGCTGTAAACACAAACAACCGAACAGAGTTAAGCTCTTAGGGAAAGCAAAACCAAACACGCACGCGCTCGCGCAGAGTGTTAAACATGAAAACATTTTGAGACTTCACCATACAGCAGGAGCAGGGGACGTTCATTTCGTAGCCTGGGCAATGATGTTGCTTATGGAGCTCGCTTGCTCTTTCGCAGCCTCCACCAGAGAATCCTGCAAGTTTAGCAACGAAAATGTAAAAACCCAAATTGCGAGCGTGATGAGTCTCATACATTACATAGTCTTGTAAGCATTAAGTAACACTGTTTATTACCTGAGCGGCCACCAGACGCGCAACAGTTTTCTTGCTTGATTCTTCGAGCTCACCAGCAATCAAAACTTCATCCAACACATAATATGCCTGCAAATATTGCAAGCCAGTATAGTGCAAACAAAAAAGACAGGAACTTTAAGCTAACAAAACTCAAATGACTGAATTTGCTGGCCCAGGACTGTGTGTTTAACAGCACTTGCTGTAGAGGCATACAGATTACAACCTCCTGCCATACCTTTGGGTGTGTCAAACACTTCTCAAGAGGTCCGATCATTCTTTTGACAGATGTTATAATCTTATTAATCCACGCTGGGTGGCTGGGCAGGGGAAGATATAAGATCTTGCCCAAATCTTAACAAGCCAGATGCAATCGCCGTCTTTAACTGATATAAATTAAATCTTTTGCCCAAGAAGAGCAATAGTAAATTCGAAAATTTGAATATGCTGCCAAGCAATCTCTATTATCCAATTATGGTGGCATATACAGAGTCTTTCATTTGAGAAACAGACACTGAGGCAAACCACATGAGTGTTCTGATAATCTTAAAGACTGCTCCCCCATTGTTAAAATAAAAAACAGAAGTCTTTTAACTTTGGAGATGAAAAAAAATAGAAGTTACCCGGAGTACAATAAAGAATCACAGTAACAGAACCTAGACGCCATACCTTGTGAAAGTTAAATATGAGATCCAGCTCACAGACCTAAATAAAGAGATTCACCAGTACGAAATTCAAAACATGAGATAGACAGATAGCAGGCTGATCAATGCAAAGTATGTATGTCACTAGAGCTGAAAAAAAAGAATCTCACTCACACTTCCAAAGTATCTGTCTAATATCTCAACAAAATGATGAATGATCTCCAACGTCTCCAATTCATTATCATCTTGGACTGTGAAACAACAGTCCGGAAGAAAACACTTGTAATTGTTAATCTGATAACCCCTAGGGGGAGGGGAGTGGGTGGGGGATTCTTGTAGTCTGAGGTAGGAAAGGACAAAAAACTACCAACAAAGAAGGCTCTAATAAAACATGTGGGAGAAATGCACCTTTTATAGACCACTCTGAATCCTTTCCATTCTACAAAATTGCAAAGCTTTGGCCCTCGTGTTAGTATCAATCCGCTTAGTTCACGGATCACCTTTGAATGAAATTTCACCCAAATACAAATGTCATAAACACAATGGAAACATACTGTTGAACTTGCACTAAAACACACATATTCCCATATTTTAGAAGGAAAAAAAAACTCAGATATATTCAGGTTTGTCGGATTATTTGCAGTATAGAAGTTTCGAAGGAAAGAGCCATATTCCTAGTATTTCCTACCAAAAAGCCATAGAGCATAAAAGCACATTCCTGACCTCCAAAACAAAGATGACTAGAACATAACTACAAAGGATATAATACTCAAACATCCCCTAAACAATAGGAAAGGGTATGCCTGAGACTGTGATCTTCCCTTCTTCAGATGAAAACAAAAGCCCATAAAATTGATGTTTTGAATAAGAATTCAAAANGATCCATTTAAGAAAAACTACAACCCTAGGCTTGTACCTTAGCTCTCTCTTTCTGAGAATATGGGGAATACCATTTTGTCAGCCTAACTTTTCCCTGTCGGCTAATTAGAAGCACAAAGTGGATCTGGACCAACATCAAATTTAATCAGTTAGCTTCATTACACAAGTACAGTACAGTCTGATTGGAAAGAAACAGACATCTGAAGATCGATGTGAAAACTGGATCGCAGGGGGAATGGATTTACCATTTTTTTGGGTCGTTAGAGAGGTTGAGAATCTTCCTTTCTGTTGAGATGGCTGTGAAGAATGTGTATCTGCAATACAGAGCATATGAAAAAGCACATTTTGGTAGTGAGGACTGAGGATAATGCTGGTTGTTGGAAAAAAATAATATACTCCATCCAGCCCAAATCCTTTTTCTTCAACACCCCAAACAAAAGCAGCAACAAACGCAAATAAAATACAAACATTTTAATTAAAAAAACAGGCCAACAGAGATTAAGGATTCATTCGGGAACAACATTTTCAATTAGCATTTTAATAGTGAAAATGTCAAATCAAAAGGATGCCAGTTAAAATGCTGAAGCTTAATACAGAAGTTGTGACAGATGGGCACTAAAAAAACATATATAAATCACAAATCTGAGAACATAAACAAATTTCAGACATTGAATTTAGAGCACCGATCTAAAAATTCGTTACCATCGGCTAGTGTTTCCATTTCTGGATGAGAGAAACAATAAAAGATAATTTGTTTGAGATTATTTGATAAGGCCGGAAGTTAATGTATGGAAAGCCGGGGATGGATCGTAGAATAAGAAATACGAGTACCTGAGAGAGGAGGTTGGATGGAAGAAATGACTGGCCGGTTGTGGAATCAGGAGGACTTGAACCTAATGGGGAATCGTAGAGGAGACTACCATCTTGATTTATTTTGGATACAATTTTATTTTTTAATACTCCATAACTAAATTATGATTTTTCATATTGAGTCATCAATTTTTAGATATTTCATAAATTATATTTAAATAATCATTTAGGCCAAATATTAAAAAATATTTTTAAGCCAAATATTAAAAAATATTTTAGGCCAAATATTAAAAAATATTTTTTCCATAAATAGTCCCTGAAAAACTTATTATGAAATAGTTTTTAAAAATTGAGAACCATTTATGAAATATCTATGATCAGAATTGATGCCAAAATATGGAAAACTACCTGTTATTAGGGATTATTTATAGATTTTTATCGATTTTAATTCACAATCTTTTATTTTTAATAATTTGCTCCTGAAAATGGGGACAAGGATCAAAGTAGTATTAAAACATATGTCATATCCTCAAAATAAGAGTTGAAACAAAAACTCTCCTAAATAGGAGTAATTAATTTTTAATTAATCTAATGACTTAAAGTTAAGGAGCAAAATACAAGTAAAATATTGACCATGTACCAAAATAAAAATTATATTCATATTACAAATATGAAATTAAATACATTTTATAAATTAAAAAAAATCCTAAATTAGCTACAGCCCCTGCCGCACATGTCACTATTACCACCCATGCCGCCATCGCCGCTACTATCGTCGCCGCCACTCCATCGCCAATATCTTGTGTTGCCATCGCTATTAAATGTGGCACCATCTACATTATTGATGCCACTAACACCAGTGAATTCGTTGTCATTGCATCCACGATATGATCTGTCGCTTTCATCCCCATTTGTTGTGGATGTTTCCTCCATCGCCCCCATTTGCTAATGCCTATGAAGTAATTTACTAACAACGTTGGGATCAGGACTGTCATTGTCGCCATAATGCCATGGTGTCACTGCTTATGGAAAAAGCTTTCAATACAATGTCAACCAAAGTCACAATGTCAAAGACGATAATGCATAAGGACAAACATGTCATTGCATAATGCCAAACATGTTATTGCGTAATGCCAAATATGTCAATATAAAATATCAAAAAGAAAGTGAAATGCCAAGATTGTCAACATACAATGTCAAGTTTCTTATCACTATCACCAAATTTTGTTGAAATTGGGAGCAAAATTTAAACACAACTAATAGAAAAACAATCAAACAAAAAAATTTAAAGAAAAACAATCAAATTTAAAAATGAAAAGAAAAAAACAATCCAAAACCAATGTCTAATGAAGATGCAATTTTTTTGAGAAAAAAGGGATGAATGCAATAAGTTGGAAATATTTGTTACTTCTACGATACAGTCTCAATTATAGAGCATTTGGAAGCAAATTAAAAAACAAAATCATAGTCATCGTGACTGGCAGTGAAGAATTGTGATTTTCTATATTGATCTTGTAGAGTCATGCCTTGTATATATACAAATCACATGTCTCCTAACCATAGTAGGATATAAAAAAGGAAAGCCTATACAAAAGGAACCTACCATATACAATAAATATTAAAAATACAAAATATATTTAACATTCTTGCAAAGACTGTGCCTGAAGTCGGAGAAAAAAAGAGATGTGAGGCCTTTGGTAAAGATGTCGGCATATTGGGAAGAAGAGGGAACATGGAGAACACGGACTTGTCTTAGTTCAACTTTGTCCCTGACAAAGTGTGTGTCAACCTCTACGTGTTTAATGCGTTGGTGCTGAACAGGGTTGGACGATAGGTACACGGCGCTGACGTTATCACAGAAGACTAGTGTGGTACGGCGCAGAGGTTGCTGTAACTCAAGAAGAAGGTTCTGGACCCAACTTTCCTCAGTCATGGCGTTTGCAACCGCTCGATACTCAGCCTGAGCACTCGAACGGGATGTAGTGGCTTGTTTCTTGGAGGACCAAGAGATGAGGTTGTCGCAAAGGAAAACACAGTAACCGCAGGTAGAGCGACGAGTGTCTAGACACCCTGCCCAATCAACATCAGAGTAGGCCTGTAAAGAATCTGTACGGATGTGATGGAGAGTGATCCCATGAGTAGTAGTGTCGTGAAGGTAGCGGAGGACATGCTTCATGGTAGTGAGATGAGTGCTGCAGGGGCATGAACGTGGAGACACAACTGCTGTATGGCATAGGTGAGATCAGGACGTGTGAATGTGAGATAGTGCAAGGTTCCAACGATGGACCTGTATAAGGTGGGTTCGGAAAGAGGTGTGCCGGAGGAGGCCCCGAGTTTTGCCTTTGTATCAACAGGGGTGGAGATGGGCTTGCAATTGAGCAGGTCTACCCGTTCCAAGATCTCGTGAGCAAACTGATTCTGATGAAGAAAGAGCCCACCTGTAGTATGCTAAACATTGATCCCGAGGAAAAAATTAAGGCCACTCATGTAACGCCACAAAATATGGCCTAAAATTTATTATAAAACAAAAGTAAATTCTGTCCAATAAGAAATATTAATACGTTTGACCAAAAATAAATGGATTTTCAAAATAATTAATTTTTGTTAAAAAGTTATTTTTATGGATATGTCTCGAAGAGACGAATCCAACAGTACATTTTATGAACCAATCTGATTTATAGATTTCAAGTTATGTCAATTTTAAATATTAAAATTTGTAACTCTGACCCATAAAATAAACTCAATTCAAAAGTGATTTCATAAGATTAGAAATCATAATTTTGACCCTTGACAACATCATATTAATCATTTGGATTTAATTCATATATTTTTATCTCATTCATATTATTAAATTAATTTATGACTGAGACAGATCTGAACACTGAGAAAAATAAAAGTTCTCAGAAAAATATTTTGACTACATCGAAATTCTAGTTTTGACAGTCTCATTCCAAATACGCAATCCATTTTCAATTCGGAGCAGTTTGGGCGAAAAAGCGCGCACCGTTTGGAGTCAACGGTTCAGTTTTGGCAAGAAGCCAAAACTTTATTTTCCAAATCTCTCCCAAATCACGTAGCTTACCTTTGTGATGCTCACAATCCTAATTTCAACTCTCCACTAATACAACACTCCAAATAATTATATAATACTTCCAAAACTACACCATACACCACCATTCAACATCATCCACCATATCCATCATCAACACCATCCATCCATCTCCTATCAACTCTCTCTCTCTCTCTCTCTCTCTCTCTCTCTCTCTCGTATGAACTAGAAAGCCAGCAAGCAAGGAAGAAAACACAAAATACTCCATTATTTTATGCTAAGGAAGAAGAAGGAGAAGCAAGAAAACCATCCATAGTTTCCAAATCATGAGTCCCAAACGCAGCATCAACGTCTACGTAAGTTCTGAAATTTTCTATCCATATTCTCGAAATACTTCCCGAACCAAAGTTGTAGCCCCGGACGATAAGAATCCAGCCCAACAAAGGGCTGCGCCAGTGGTGGCGATCTCCTCGGGATTGGCTATGTTTCCTCACCAAATTCATATCATTTCATCCCAAATACTTACCATAAACTTTTTAACAAATTTAAGGAACATCCGGAAGGTATCGTAGAGAAAGTTCGGCGTTGGAACGTTGAAGTTAGTGAGTTAATCGTCGGAATCATGTTCATCGACATACCCGAAATTCTGGACAGCAACTATCCCTTGACTTCAGGTCCGATTTACGCTATCTTACATATGTTAAAACGAAATACTTTCTATACGAAAGTTGTAGCCTTACATCTTAGGAATCCAAAGAATCGAACGGTTTGCAATTCCGTGAAGAAACGATGGAGATATGCCGAAATTACCGCAGGCTGTCTAGTTGTGACGGGAATGACAAAGTTGGTGAATTTCGATGTTGTTTCCACTCCCGCTCATCCGTAAGGTTTCGGCCGATGATTTCCAGGTCTGTACCTTTGCGTTAGACTTGTCGAATCATTCATCACATACGTACATGAACATATATATTAATCCATATGTTGAAATCATCCCAAAATATATATGTGATGCATATATAAGTTATCTATATGTTGAGATTAAAATACACCAAATCCATAAAGTTAATATACACATATGTAGGTATAAACTTTGGAAATCAACCCAACAATATGTATATGTTAATCAAAGGTGTTTAAAAGACTTAAAGACGTATTTTGGACATTCAAAATATCAAGAGAAAGATTCGCAGACCCAAACGGTCGACGCAAACGGTCGACCGTCGCGTTAAACTTCGAGACGAACCAGGACTGTCACCTAAACGGTCGACCGTCGACAGATGACGGTCGACCGCCGCCGCCTAGCCGAGGACCGCCGTACCAGTCAGTCAACAACGGTCGACCGCCGGTCAACCGCGATCGACCGTCACGGTGATCCGAGATTTACGAAATGATTTTAAGCACGGTCGACCGCCGTGCTAAACGATCGACCGTTCCGAGCCCCGTAGCTTATTTAACTGATATTTTAATCATGTTTTACCCAAACAAATTAATGTATGATTACATATTCAAAATGTTCATAAATTTGTTCACATCATATCATTCATTTCATCATTTATATTGAAGCATATCACATTATGTGCATGCGTAAGAGATCATGCGTAGTGCGTCTCTTATAGCGTGATTGTGCGGGACTTAGTTGTCCGACATCACAAGTTCGGGCTTAGTGTACGTACATGGTATTCAGGTCTCTGGGTACCACCCCTATTTTTCTAGTCTCACCTCATTCGTGAGACTAAGGCCGCGTGAGTTCGTCGTACCAAATGGGCGAATCTCATAGCGCAAGGGTGTCCTTTCAAGTTATAGGATCATACATCATGTTATCATCAAGAACAATTACATTGATTACATAGGTGTCATGTAATCATCATCAAGCGAAAGTATATTGATTACATAGGTATCATGTAATCGTCCTCACAAGCAAATTGATTAAATGTGCCATCATGTAATTATCATTAAATATTTATCATCATGATTCATCAAATTGACCATATGATAATATGTGCCATATCATGAATGTTACTATACATTTTGTGGATGTATATATATGTATATGTATATGTCTATGAATTATTCTACAATTCTAGCGTGGTACCACTCAGCGGTTTCGCTGAGCGTGTAGTTTGTATTTTTCGTTGACTACACGTAGGTAACAAGAAGACAATGATGGAACCTTTCCCGGAGGGCATTGAGTCAGAAGAGATGCAAGGATGTCAGGCAATGTTTGGTTAACAGATTTTAAAATGTGTCATGATTTGATTATTATTGTACTTCCGCATTACTCTGAAATTATTTTTAAATGGGTCGCGATCCAGAGTCTGTAAATTTAATATTTTTAAGTAATTATCATTTTCAAATGTCAAGTGAAATTTTTATTTAACTCACGTTTCACCTTAATTCGTGTAATTCCGGGTTATACGGATTGGGGTGTTACATTTTGGTATCAGAGCAAAACGTTTTTCGGATCATTGAGTCAATATTTTCAAAGTCCTGCATCCGCATCCTCCACGACATCTCTGCCCTGGGAAGGTAATCAACAAGTAAGTTACTATGGCATAACACACATGCTTAACTCATTGAAAATTTGCTTCCTTTGAGTTGCTAGTATCCTCATAGACTCGATTACAACAAAGTTTAGATTGCCTCGAAATGTTCTTCAGCGATCACAGTCAACATCAGAAGATCAAGAAAAGGACTGTAAACTCGACAAGCGCGACATATACGTATGTCATAGTACGCAAATGGCTAAGTGAATAATGTGAATCAACTTCCCTCTACCCGAAGGATACGTTGAAGAAAGAACTTTCTCCAATAGGAAGTGAACGAATTCTCCAAAAGGTAAATCTGTCGTTTTCTAAAAGCATGAATAGAACCCCACAAACCAGATCGAATACGACATATGTATCGAATCTGAAACACCTTCTAGGAGTGAATCTACATACAAACATTAAGATAACTGACTCGTTCGTATACCCTATTCACGTGAAAGGTCGCAACAAGATGAAAGTACAAAACAAGATGTGAAACTGTCACATCAATAGAGAAAGACTCGAAGATAAAGAAAAGGATGAATATTTACATGGTACATATTGATGTTGGAAATAAATACTCTTCTGAAATGCACTGGTCATGCAGCTTAGAACGATATTTATGACCAACACATAATGTACATGGACAATATTATTTCAACATTGGAAATATTACAGATGCAACTCTAAGTCTAATCTTCCAGGATTTGCAAACTCTTCATAACTGGCACCAGGACCCGGGAAAGCATTAGAAAACTCTAGCTTGTCCAACAGCTCATCAACAAAGAAAGAAGAAATGAACAGTTTTCTCTGATTCAAAGCCATGAAGTTCTGCCTCACCGCATCATCTAGAAACTTGATTAGGTTATTGAAATAACCGTCAATGTTCAAAAGACCAATGGGTTTACTGTGTAACCCTTCTGATGCCCATGAGATCAAAGTGAATAAACCTTCCATAGTGTCAATCCCTCTAGGAAGTACAATGAAGGCTTCCACAGTATGATTCATCTCGAAATACTTATAGTAATTGCTGGAGACGGTGTACTCCGCACCATATGTTGGTCCATAGACCCCTCGTGTTGCTATATACCCTGGTATGAAACCTCTGACTCTACCACCATTATTATAGACTGTTGAAGCTACAGCTCCTTAAAGGCCAACGTTGCCTCCTCCGTAGGTAAGCCTGATTTTTTGCCTTACCATTTCCCGTCCTAGATCAACCGCTGTAGCCATGCACCTTGGATTGCTACCAAGAGCATGACTACCAAGTAGACCAACGAATCTTATGGTATTAGAAAGAGCTCGAGAAGTTCCTTCCATAATGTGAGAATGTGAGACGCTCTTGCCATAATTCGATATATATAGACTCTGAAACTGGACCATTGATGGAAAAGTAATTATCACCAGCCTAAAAGCGTACAGGAAAGTGGATTCGTTCCAGACAAGAATGTACTCACCAATACTATAGTCTGCTGACGACATGACATATTGAGACTCGCGAATAGTTAGGCTCATTGTTCTGAAATATGTTCAATTCCGACGAAAAGTCAAAATGGCTATTTACCTAAGATAATGACCCCTTGAGTAACTTCCAAAGAGTGAAACATTAAAGGATGAAAACCTACTATTTGCCACAATAATTCACAAATGCTATATTCATATCATGTGACCTATATCCTTGAAATACTAAGGCTTGTTGTGTTAATTACATGCTTAAAGATTGAATTCCATATTTTTGTTATGTATATTAATTCATTGAGAACTTGTTTTAACTCATAATTCTCCATCAAATCAAAAAAAATGTTTTATGATACTGAACTTCAAAAAAATCACGCATGTATCAGTAGAATCCCAAACGTATTAGAATATGACTACGTGTATAACTTATCATGTTTTTGATAATAAGTAATTTAACTATTGTGTTACGAATATTAGTGATATGACGAATACACTAATATTATAATTTTCGAGCATGAAGCTCTATCATAATTATTGCGAAAGTCTGAAATTCCAAGGTACTTCTGGAATCATTACTCAGAAAATCAGTATTCAAGAATGACTACATATCATCTTGATAATACAAACAGTGACAAAATGACAAATGTTGTCAAAAAGTTCTCCAGTCATTTCAATGTGATAAATATATATATATTATTGTGATATATAAGTATGATATATGTGTTAACTATTACAAACAAGCTTTAATCAGCTTATTTACATCATATTAGTCAGAACAATTCTATTAAGGATCGCTAATGAGAGCAAGCTTTGAAATTATGATCTTGTATTCATCTAAGAAATTTAGAATAATGACTATGGTAATAGTCATTCCCCAACATACCGTTATGTAAAAAAAACGACAAACCTAAAAACAATTCGTTCCAGCTTGTACACAATGAAACGTAATTTGTGAAAGAAATATTCCAGACAAAGTCGTCTGAGAATGATTCTATAAGAAATTCAAAAAGAATTTTTTTTAAAAATTACCCCACATTCAAGAAACTCAACCTATACTCCTACAACACAACAAGAGCAAGTTTAAAAGTATATTCGACGCAAGTCTTCATTAAAGAAATCCAAACATGTTACATCTATTATCCGCGTATACCTTTTCTCAAAAAAAAATGTCATAGTCAATGGAGAACATCTCATAATCATGACACTCAACAAAAGAAAGAGAAAACAACTTTTCAAAATTTGTATTTTACAAAAACAATGGATATTCATTATTTTGTACATCATCATTTTTAAATGACTTCATTAAGGAAATTTCGGGGACGAAATTTCTTAAGGGGGGAAAGAAATGTAACGCCACAAAATATGGCCTAAAATTTATTATAAAACAAAAGTAAATTTTGTCCAATAAGAAATATTAATACGTTTGACCAAAAATAAATTGATTTTCAAAATAATGACTTTTTGTTAAAAAGTTATTTTTATGGATATCTCGAAGAGACGAATCCAACAGTACATTTTATGAACCAATCTGATTTATAGATTTCAAGTTATGTCAATTTTAAATATTAAAATTTGTAACCTTGACCCATAAAATAAACTCAATTCAAAAGTGATTTCATAAGATTAGAAATCATAATTTTGACCCTTGACAACATCATATTAATCATTTGGATTTAATTCATATATTTTTATCTCATTCATATTA